AAACATGCACCTATTCCGATTTGGGATGCATCAGAATGAATGACAAACGGATCCTGCAGTGTTGGGGTGATCAGCTCCGTTGACATCGCTAATCGTTCCTTCAGTTGTTGAAATGTTGACTCATGAATTTCTTTCCATTCGAGTATTTCCGGTTGTTTATTTTTCGTGAGTTCTGTGAGTGGGTAGGCGATCTTCTGCCTACCCTGGGATATAATCGCGATAATAATTACATAGTCCTAACAGACTTTTAAGATCTCTTTTCGTTTTCGGCGTTTCCAGCTTCTTGATTGCCTCTATTTTCTCGGGATCTGGTTGATGTTTTCCTGATCCAATGATGTGTCCTAAATATTTAATTTGAGGTTTTGCAAACGAACATTTCTTCGAATTGATAGTAAATCCAAGTGACTCTAGTTTGGTAAAAACTTTATCCAGATGTCGGAGATGAGTGTCGAAATCCGTGGAAAATATAGCTATGTCATCAATATAGGCTCTTGAAAATTGTGAAATTCTTTCAGCGCGTTATTCATTACTCTCTGAAAAGTTGCTGCTGCGTTCCTTAATCCAAAGGGTAGCACTTTAAACTGATATTGACCTCGATGAGTTTTGAAGGATGTGTACTCTTTACTTTGTTCCTCCATGGGAATTGCCCAATATCCTTTCAGCAAATCTAAAGTTGTTATGACGTTGGCTCTTCCTATACTGTACATTAAATCAATGGCATTTTGCATAGGAAAGTCATCTGGCTTCGTCACTGCATTCAAAGCTCGATAATCTAAGCACAATCTGATATCTCCATTTTTTTTGCTTACACAAACTACTGGATGAGCTATTTTCTGCATTACTTTCTTCTATTAGTCCCGATTTCAATAATTCTTCTACTTCTTCATCGACCTTGGGTTTCAATGCTTCAGGAATCCTATAAATGTAAGGTTTCTTCCTCTCCATATTGGGTATTAATCTAATTTTATGAGCTTCAACTTTAGCTATTTTCAGCTTTCCGGTGAATAGTGCTCGGTGTTTGTTGATAAGAGCTATCAATTTTCTTCTCTGCTGCGGATTCAAATTTTCTAAATTCAGATTTGCATCTATTTTAAAATCTTCCAGGGGGTCGAGAGATCTTTTCCTGGTAAAGTTATAATTTCTCCAAATTCTTCTTCATTTTCAAATATCACTCCAACTGCATTGACACTAGCTTGGAATTTTCTAATTTTTTTGCATGAACATGTTTGATCTTTCCATCAGGTAGTTTTACTTTATAGGAATGAGGTGGGGCAATGATTCACGATTTCTCCTGGACCAGTCCATCGTGCATAGAGTTTGTTATTTGAATCTGGTATGAGTAAATAAACTTGTTCTCCGATTTTGAAATTTTTTGGTATTGTTCTCCGATTGAAGTACTCAGCATATTTTGTTGTTTATCACTTGCAATTAAATTGGCTTGTTCGGCTGCTTGTTCTAACCTTATTTTTAAAAGTTGTAAGTAATAATCCACTGCCGATTCACTTAGATTAGGTGGTATAGGTATTTCTCCTGACCATGAAGACTTCAGTACTGCTAAAGGACCTCTTGGTTGTCTTCCATACATCAGCTGAAATGGTGAGACACCCGTGGTGCAGTTTGGTACTTCTCTGTATGCAAAGAGCAGGTATGGGATGTGCTTTATCCCAATTCGAAGGATCAGTCCTGATGACATGATGTAACATTTGCTTGAAGGACTTGTTCCATCTTTCTACTAATCCATTTGAAGCACTGTAAGCAGGTGTAGAGAAACCTAGGGTGAGAACCTAGTCTTTTCTGGAATTCTTTAGTTAATTTTGAAACGAAGTTACTTCCGTTGTCACTAGCTATTGTATTAGGGATTCCTGTTCTCATGAAAATCTCCAAAAGCGCATCGCAAGTGGCTTTTGCTGTCAAGCTTCTCAGTGGAATGGCTTCTGGCCATCGGGAATGTTGATCTACCAGACATACACATATTTATGTTTCCTAGCAGAGGAAGGTTCAATAGGTCCAATAATGTCGATGTTAACTGTTTCGAAAGGTAATCCTGGCCTTCTGACCGGTGTGATGGGAATCTTGTCAGATCGCTTTTCTGGACTTTTCAACTGACAATCTTTGCACGTTTTACAAAAGGTTTCAACATCTTGTGCTAATCCAGGCCAATAAAATGAATATCGTATTCGCTCCTTTGTTTTTCTTATCCCAAGATGTGCACCGAAAATGGAACTATGTGCTAATTCCAACACTTTGTGCTCTTCTACTAAGTGGAAGCACTAACTGAAAAACAGTCTGTCCTAATATTTTTCTTGGTGATGTAAAAGATGATCAATAAATAAATAATTTCCTTTTTTTTTTCTATTGCTAGCTTCCATGCTTCTCTCAGCGAGGGACAGTTAACTTGCTCTTCGCGTAGGCGTTCAGCAGACGATAAGTCTGTGTTTACATAAACACTCGCCTTCCTTCCCTTCCTCCTCCTTCGTTTTTCTCCTCCATAAGCATTAGCGGGAGGGGGGGAATCGACGCTGTCGTTTGACTGTGCATTGGCGAATAAAGTTTGTAAGTTTTCGCTTCCATAATTATTTCTTTCTGCGTTTGGTTCTTCTGCCGCAGGATTAATCAAGAGTTCGTATATTTCTGGAGTTATTAGGCAAGGCACATTTAGCTTATCAGTCACTGCAATTAATGTATCCACAAAATTAAATATATTGCTTCCATGATCTTTATGGTAAATAGGTACACGGCAAACTTTTGCTTCAATTGATTGTCCGAAAGCAGGTGTTAGCAATATTTTACCTCCTTCTCTCTCCTCTAAATTTGGAATGAGCGATGAATGTACGATCGTTATCTGACGTTCCAGAGTCTACGATAGCTTCGATTTTCTCAGAGTTAATAAAAACATCTACTTTTTGCAGTGGTTGAACGATGCGTTCTGCGAATTCAGGATCGTAGATGGGATGAGTCTACTTCAAAAAAATAAACAGCTAAAAGAAGAAACCATCGATGGCTTCTTCTTTTGATGTTCTGTTTGAATTTTTTTTGAGTTTTGGAATCATCCTTTCCCTTCTTATTTACTGCAGTTTCGTTCTTTCTTCTTTTGTCTGGGCAATCTCTCGCGATGTGTTGATAATTTCCACAAATATAACATTCTTTTCTTCTCGCGTGAAATCTTTCGTGTTTTGGATATTCTTTTCATGGGTGGTGGAATATATTTGTCGTGTGCACATGTTGTATCCAGGAATCTCGGTGATCGCTTAATTCCATTTCAAACTTCGTCGAAAGATTTTCCTTTGGCCATGAAATAAATATCACATTCTGTAGCTAATTCTTGAGGCTTCAGCCATTTATTTCCTTGGCGTATTGCGACGTGTGCAGCTGTTTCTTCATCTAATGCTTGGAATAATTTATCGGAAATAATTAACTCCTTGAGTGTTTCGAAATCCTTTACTTCTCTTGACTTGCAGTAATAGTCCCATGTAGCTGTTAGTCTTGAAGCGAACTGGATATGCGTTTCGCCGGAATAACGTTTAGTTTTTCTGAAGTTTTCTAAACAGGTTTGAGGAGTAGGTTGATATTCCTTCAGAACAAGAGTTTTCACTTTTTCGTAATTTTGCAGATCTTCCTCCTTTATATAAACAAGAACATTTGAAGCTTTTTCTCCAATTAATTTCAATAATATTTCTGATTTGTATTCTTCTTCAGGAACCTTCTTGTGCTTAAATGCTCTTTCGATAGAATCGAAAAATATATTCCATTCTTCTGCTCTCTTCGGTACTGGTATAGTCAGTGTTTCTACTCCTTTGATCAGCTTGTCCAGGGAAATTTCGGTTTCTCGTTCTGTGTTTTGTATTAAAGGTGTTGGACTTCTACTTCCTTCATTTTGAGTTGCTCGAATCTTCGCTAGTTCTATTTCGTGTTCTTTTTCTGTTCTTATTCTTTCTTCTTCCATTTGCATTCTTTCCATTTCTTCTTTTCTTTTTCTATTCTCCACTGTAGTAATCAGAATTTCTTTCACGAAATCAGCATCTTCGATGTATTCCTTGCTATTCTGGAGTTTGTGTTTCAGTTCTACCAGCTTCAAATCTGGGGATGCTTCTTCGCCGATTTCCAATAGAACTGTTACTAAATCCTCTTTCTTTGCGTTTTTGAACATTTTCTTCTATTTTCCTTTAGAATCAAGCCTTTCAAACTCTCGATTAAATAATTCTCACGTTTTTACTCTCTTTTGCAAATGAACACTTCTTTCGTTAGTTAGGCTTAACTTTACGCCTCTTCCGTTTTCAACGCTCTAAGCTTCTAACCTCTCTGGTTTTCTCGTAAGAGAGCGTGTTGTGATGACTTCGTGGTTTAACAAGGCACCATTTAGCAAGACGAAACAAACATTTATTAAATATATAATTCAAATAATAATATAATAGTTACTCAGAGCAGTACGTCGCTCCTACCGCATAGTACAATCTACTACCTTCCTCTTCCGAGGCTAACATGCAACTCCTAATAAATACATTAACCCTTCTCGAAGAAGAGCTACCTGCGCCAAGCATGCTCTGTTGATCGCCAAACAGTCGCCAGATATCACAGACTAAAAATACAAATGTTTTGAAGATTATGTATCCTGTACTTCATAAAATATTTGAATATTAATTAAGGAATTCTCAGAAAGTAAGTTTGTATAAAATAAGTTTAGTATATATTTTCAAATAATTTTTAGTATCATTATCATATAAATATTGAAAAATCCAAGTTCTGGAATGTTTGATGTATGTCTAAACATGAATGGAAATCTTGATTTTAACTTAATGTTATAGTTTGATTTTCATCATCAAATTTTTTTTTAATTTTCATGTAGCTTGAAGAAATTGTATTAAATAATGCTCACTTTATAGGTTTTCTTAGCCTGAACCACATTTTTTGTTTCCTTGCTATTGTTTTAATATTCATACATAATAATATATTTTAACTTTTTATATAACATTAATATAATTTATAATGCATTTTAAGTGTATTATTAAAAATACATTACTATTCCTACTTTTCTGTATAATGTTCTTTTCCGTATAATTCTTGCCTCTACTATTTAGAATACTTCAGCAACCACGTTCCTAAATCACCTATTAGAGAACTATTGGAACTGGAACCACAGACTGCCAAATTTGAGTAAGTAAATAAATATTACTGTATTAAACTGATTTGATTTTATTTTAAAAAACAGGGAAAATCATAATTGTATTGAAAGAAAGATTCCAAGATAAAACTATACTAGTCTTTTAAGTATTTCTTTCTTATCTATATTAAATAAAACTTTGTCTGCTTTTTGTAAGGAAACTGTAATTTATTGAGATTAATTTAACTGTTATTAAAGTAAAAACTATGAAATGCTTACTATTACAGTAGAAAACACGTAATTGATAATTATAAGGTAAAAGTTATTTGAAATTTTATAAGGTAACACATTATGAAGAACTTGCTTTATTCAAATTCATTTGATTTGACTGAAATCTATAGTATCTCATTTTCTAAGCTAAAAAGCGTACTCGCATATTAGTCCTATCAAACATGAAATTGTTGCCAAGTAGTATGATTAGTTCCAGTTTTGAATAAACTTGATATACCAACATACTCATAACATCTGCACTTTGGTTTGATGAAATCCTGATTGATTCTTGTTAAACCACTTATGCTATTATGAACGAGACTATAAATTAACTGTTATTGCTCCATTTTTTCCTTCTACCTTGGGGGGGGAGGGAGATAAAAATTTGAGACCTGCCTTCCACATTTAAACTCCCACATTTTAATTATTTTTTTTTTATTCCAAGCAAGCAGTGGATTAGTTTGAAAATTAATCATTCTGCCTTCAAAAAATTGTGTATTAATGGACATGATACGATCAGCTGAATATGGGGGACAAAACCATAATAAATTGGGATGATTAATGATTACCTCTGTGAAATTTGTACTAATAGCATTCTAAGCAGAGCTTCGGGTAAAATGAGAGGGCATAACAAACTAATAGAAGTAGATGAAAGTCTTTTTATGAAGCACAAAATTGAAGCAGATCAAATGCTGTTCATTTATTAAATAAATAGGCATTAATTCCTTCAGAATTCCGCAGGAATGATTGGTGCATCTTTATCAGGATCTCCATAAAATTTAATGGTAAGTTGGTAGCCAACTTTCGTTGTCAACAGGCTAATATGTAAGTATCCTAATAACATTCGGGAAAATATTTCAAACTTATTTCTTGCTTGCTCTTAGAAGTCTATCACAATATACTAGCTGCTACTTTTTTTTAAATAAGGTATATTATTTTATACTGTTTAAATAGTGTATCAGTTAAAACTAAAAAGTATAAAAATCAGGTAGTTATTAATTAGTGAAATCATCTAAAATCCATCCATAAAAAAGAGCGTAAATATTTAGTTATAGTGAAATCTCTTGTACCATGTAACCTACTATAGAAGACCACCCTCTGAAAGTTACCATTATTTCTCAGAACATAAATATACATCAGTATTGTGCATTATTTCTGTAAGGCAACCATATCCACTGAAGATCAATAGCACATGGAACTGCAAATAATCATCTTAGGATGATTTCACTATGTTTATTTATGTGTCATGATTTTATTAAGTTTGGTCCAATATATTGTAGCTAAAAGTTGCATATTTACTGAGCATAATAATGTAAATTTAGGAAACTATTTTTGTTTAATGTTGTACCATTATTTTAAATTGTTTTATTAATACTTTGCATTTCTGTTGCTTATTATTTCTGTGTGAATAAATGTTGAAACTGAGTAAATAGTATAGAGAACCGGAGACATAAATTGTTTCAAATCTTTCTCATAATCTCCCAAAACTAATTAACAAAAGTTTGTGAGATGTTTGGATCTTCTTTTTTCCTTGAATGCCTCTTTCTAAAAAGCTGAAAGCTATAATGGATTTGATTGCTGCTTGGTGCGAAGTGCAGATGTTGCTGAAATTGCAATTTGTGTTATTTTGGAGAAGAATTGCTGTTATATATAAAAACTGTGTAGATGCAATTTAAAAAAAAAAAAAAAAAAAAAAAACGTTTAGGCAACTGTAGAGAAATTTTAGGTAAGTTTGCTACCATCAGTGAAAAAATTTCTGTTACATCCATTATGAATAATATATCAACATAATATGTTTCGCCAGCAATTAAATCTCTTCCATATGATGCAAAATCATCTTGAAATTTATATAAAGTACAATTTGAAATGAGGCTGTGGGTGAACTGACAGGATTTCTGTCTCCCATTTTTGTATATTTTAAGATTTTTTCATCTTTATCTGGTCTACTTGTTCAGAAGGCCTTTTACAGACTATTAACATAGATTAATTCAAATGTTAAAATAATTGTTTCTAAGAAAACTTAATGTAATTTTTGTAATGTAAGAAATATAGAGGCTGTTTACACATTTTTAGAATGATTTCATTAAAGAATTTTTAAAAAAATATTTTGGAATAAACATTTTTGGCACACAGCATATTATTTGAAATGAGAATTATTGTCTGCTACTTTTAAATTTCTTCTCCTTTCAAAATGTTGCATGTAAATAAGTTGTGGATTGAAGAAAATGTTTTTGCACTTTCCAAAGCAATAAATTTGTATTCCGTGATTCAAAGAGATTGTAAAATGCATGGTATTAAAATTTCTAAGTAAGCAACATTATTAGTTGGAAGAGAAAAAAACTGTCCTGCATAAAATGGAGACTATCTGTTACTCCTGCATAGAAAGGAGACTCCAAACAAATACCCGGGAAAGGTGTGTACTATTTTTAAAGTTAAATCGTCGGTAACAAGAGAAAATCCTTTGATGCAGAAATCATTGCAGTTGATAAATACACAGAGATGTACAACATAGCAAGACATAAATGAAAATACATTGTGTTCCTTGATGAAGCATGGGTTTATTTGAATAACTAAAAACTTAATTTGATTTTTACTTACAAAGTGCTTCTTTTTGATGGCAAGGAGAATCACTTAACAGATATTATATTTTGAATTCTGTTTAGTACACTTTTGAACTTGAATTATATTCGTTTGTCTTTATTATAAGTGCTGTTAGACTGCAATAATGGTTTGTATATGCAAAACATTATTGCAATAAATGCAAATATTTACATTTGCATAATCGTTGTGTTTATTACTGTTTATTACTGTTGTGTTAGTACTGTTAAAGACTGCAAATAAGTGATGTTTTATATGCAAATATTTACATATTATTGTTATTTTATCTCATAGAAGAGCTGAGATGACCGTAAGTGGAAAAGTGAGAGTAAGAGTCGATGTTTTTGGAAAAGGACAATTTGTTGGTGTTGGCCGTAACAAACGGATTGCCAAATGTACAGCTGCCAAACATGCCCTACGAGAACTGAAAAAAAAATAATAAAATATGATGCATTCAGATTTATGAGTTTTGGTTGTATCTTGAATTTTTGTAATATGCTGAATAAAAATAAGTACAAAAACATTAGTATTGCTAATGGAAATTTTTAAAAATTCATTCAAATTATTACTCAAACAGCAATTTTTAGATATAGGGGAAACTTTACAGGGCTCTTAAAGAAATAACAACACATCTTCTGTAACGGCCTTGTGGGGAAAATAAATTTCGTGTGTTCCTTCATTGGCAAGGAACAAGCGTTTACCAATCTGCACATGTGCAAGAAACAATCAAAACTGATCCATGCATGTGTGAGAAACAAATGATAAATGATTTAACTGCATTTTTGGAATTGCTTTAGTTGATTCAATATGGCAGTTTTTCATTGTAAAATACTTGAAAACTTATTATTTTCAGTCTTCCATGAACATAAAAAGAAGATATAGTTGATGTTTGAAGTATTATTAGCAGCAATAAGATACATTTCACAAGAAAAGAAGAGAAAAAATGATGCTGTTTGTTTACATTACCTATGCATAAATCACATGATCTGTGAGGTCATCAGAATGTATCTCATTGCTGAATTGTGGCCACCAGAAAGAGTCTAAAGGATTAATCTTTCATTATGTTTATATTTTTTAAATCCATTGCTAACAAAATTTTATGAAGTAAAATAATAAATAGAACTTTCTGTTATAGTTTATAAATAGAATTTTGCAGCTTGTTAAAAATTTCACTTTCTGTTTGTGATATCTGGAAACCTTGAAATTCACAACAGTCATCATAAAGCTTAGTGTCCGCTGTACACTGTTGGAAATAGTATATCATCAGACTGGCGACTACAGACATGGTATTCTGCTTAATTTTGTCTTGCTTTATCATATGCTTATAAAATTAAGCTGGATCGGTATTAGTTTAGTTATTTATTATACTTACACCTATTTCCCCACACATGCTTAAGGCTTATTTGAGTTCCAAATAAATAAACTCCTACATGTACTTTAAGGTTTATCTAGAGCTGGGGGTAGACATTTTGTGGGTTAGTGCAGTTTGTGCATGCCCTAAATTCTAAAAATTTTACATTCAGTGCCTTCCCTAAATTCTAAAGATTTCATCAGCATTTAATTTTATTTCTGGGTGATTTTGAAATTCTAAAATTTTGCCTTTCTGCTTCACCACCTCTGTCACTGATCTTGGACTTATCTAAGTAACAAATCAATTATTCTTGATTCAAACAGTACTTTTAACTGCCAAGTAACCTTGGCAGTTAAAAGTACTGTGAACATCATATACAAATTCTGTATTTTGCATATGGAAAGAAGTTTCTGTTAAATTTCTCTTCATAAAAACACTCAGCACTTTGCAGCCCAGTTAGCTAAATCTGCAGTAATTGCCAACATAAAAGGTTACAATGCTCTTTGATACTCAGTTATTCATATTAAAAATTTTAAAAAAATTCATTAGACATCATGAGTAATTTATGTAATGTATGAGTAATTTCTCAAGCTGCCATATGTTGATAATCCTATGATAATGGGGGGGGGATATAATAAAGATTTGTAATGTAGAATGTTTTGGTTTGAGATGTATGCCAAGCAAAAAGGCCGCTGTGGAGTCAAATTATTAATCTTGCAGATTTGTGCTAATAAATGTTTCTCCAGTTTAGAGGTATGTTATTTAGTGCCAAAATGTAATTAAGGATGAGGACTCTTCATGTATTTTATTATGAAAATATATCAAATGCACGTGTGTAAAGCATACGAAAAAAGTGTTTGTAAAAAATAATTTGCTGGTGATCCAGAAGCTTGGATATTAGATCACTGGACTTTGTACTGTATTTATATTAATTTTAACAATAACACAGTCAAGTGGTGGTGTTTAAATTCATATAGAATTCAACAAACTGTAGTTAACATATCACATTTCATATGAATTTCTAACATTCAGGCTTTTAAACAATCATAAGAATTTCACTACAATCCATACCATATAATTGTCAAATTTTATGAATTTTGGTCGAAAACTGTTTTAGTTTTTATTTATTACAAGTTTTACATTTTTATATGCAAAAAATTATACTTACAATTGTCAGCAGATTTCCATTTTATAGCATAGTTAGTAGGTATGATATTGCAGCGAAAATTGCTCTTTTCGACAGAGCTCCTCATAGCTTAGCGGAGAACACGCAGGACTCGAAAGCCGAAGGTACTGGGTTCGAAACCCATCAACGGCAAGATGCCTAATAATTGGTTTTTATGTAAATTTCCTTCTTATTCTTCCAGAACATTCAAAATCTGGAATGTTCCAAAATGTTCACCAGCTATATATAAGTAGCTCTTCATTCAATTCGAGTTAATAAAAAGTCTTGAGTTTAGACTTGAGTACTTGCCTGTTCGTTTGTATGATTCCCTCATCTACGCGACAGTTTGGTGGAGGCTCCGGGTATTTCTCAGTTACTACGGGAGAGTTATGTCGAAGCCTGCGGATTCGAAGACTTCCTCCTGAATTTGAACTCTTACAAGATTCGCGTAAAATATCGAGAAAGATGGTTGATGAGAAGGAAACCGAGCAGAATCCTCCAGCATCAGCTTGTTCCGTATCGAGTAATATCGCACCAATACCGATCCTGACGTACCAACTACCCAGAAGCCCGTGTATATTTACCGGGGACAGCCAAGAAGGTACTAATAGATGGCTCAAGGACTTTGGTCGAATCGCCAACTATAACCACTGGGTGGATCAAATGTGTCTGGCGAACGTCATTTTTTACTTTGGCGGAACCGCTCGACAGTGGTTTGATAATAATGAAGACACATATACCAGTTGGACTGTTTTCAGGACTGCTCTTAAGAACACCTTTTCCCGAACAGCTGATGTAAAGCGCCAAGCCGAACAAATACTACTCACACGTGCCCAGCAATTTGATGAGACGTCTGAAGCTTACATTCAAGATGTTCTCGCTCTCTGCCGAAAAGTAAACCCATCCATGTGTGAAGACGAGAAAGTGGTCCATCTCATGAAAGGTATTGCCGAAGACTTGTACCAGATCCTGTCGTCCCAGGACTATGACAGCGTCGATGCCTTCGTGAAATGCTGCCGTCACATAGAAAGCCTTCGACGAAGACGTATCGCCCGATCACGATTCCAGAGGCTGCCTAATATCTCCGCGGTGTCGGCCGATGCGGACGCCGGTGAACTAAGATCTATAGTGCGCGCCATCGTCAGGGAAGAGCTTCAGAAGGTCCTGCCGCAAGTTCAGGGCTACACGGAAATAAAACCCGTAACACCGAATGACATAGCATCTATGGTTCGGGAAGAGGTTATACTGGCACCACTCACAGGAGCAAGGAGAAGCAAAAACACTACCCAGCGTTCACTTCCAGTTAGGTCGCAGCCAAGACGTGAAGCCAGCCAGAGAACTGCTCCACGACGTAGGACAGATCTGTGGAGGACTGACGATAATGTGCCTCTGTGTTTTCATTATTGACGCCCAGGACGTGTTCTGAGGTACTGTAGGGAAAAACGGCAGATATTTGAAAATGCAACGGCAGATATTTGAAAATGTAAGAGCCGCAAAGACGTCCAACCCTCGACCGGACAGGGATACTGAATCTACATACAGCTTCGACGACGAATATGCACAACCTAGTTCTTCCCGAATAAGGAGCAGTTCACCTTATCCGCGACGCTCTCTCAACCGCCGACCATCGCAGTCACCAGTACGCTGTTCCAGCCTTTCCCCACGCCGAACCAATGAGGAAAACTAGCTCAAGCGACCTGTACAGAAGGTGAGACCGCAGCTGAAGAAAATCCTCCGACGTACACCGCAGCTAAGTTGAAAAAGAATTACATTTTTATAAGTTGAAAAGGAATAACACTTTTATCATCGTGAACGGACAGTGTGTGAAAGCCCTTGTTGATTTGGGTGCCGATTATTCTGTCATATTCGAAGAGTTACGTCGACAGCTAAATGTTTCTATGTTTGCTGAGAATGGACCTGTATTAAAACTGTAGCCGCCTCGGGACGCTGTGTATTAAAAGTTGATTTGAATGGGACTAAGAAGCCGTTTGAATTCCTTGTGTTTCCTGAATGTAGTCATCAAATGATACTTGGATGGAACTTTTTCCGTGCCACCGATACCGTTATCGATTGTGGAAATCAAGAACTTACGCTTGCAGAAATCCTTCCAGACAATAAATATTTAAATAAGTCAGAGCCCTCCTTGTTTGCCACAACCGATTATGTAATTGAAGCAAACACCGCAAAGCGAATATGTGAATTCAGAACTACGGGAAGCAGATGGAGATGTATCCAAAGAGCAGAGCTGACGCTAAATTCCAAGAAATGTTCATTCGGCAAAACGAAGCTGACTATACTGGGACACTTAGTCGATCAACATGGGATATATCCCGATCTGCAAAAGGTAGGGGCTGTAGCAACGTTCCCTGTTCCAAAAAATATCGCCGATATCCGAAGTTTTCTGGGCTTGTGCTTCTACTACCGACGATTTATGTCAAAATTTCGCGATATCCGCAAAGCCCCTTTGCATGACTTGTTGAAGAAAGATGCAAAATTTTCTTGGTGGAACGCGTTACAGATTGAATCTTTTGCAAACGCTCAAAAGACGCTGCTGACCAGTGGCACTGTTTTGGGACATTTTATTCCAGACGCAGAAACCAGGATACATTCTGACGCTAGCGGCTATGGCATCGGTGCAGTACTGGTTCAGATCCACGATAGCAAAGAAAGACCAATAGCCTATGCATCCAGGTGAAACATCATACTGCAGCTGAAAGGAACTATTCCACCACCGAAAAAGCCGTCATCTGGGCAGTTAGTAAATTCAGTTCATACCTCTACGGAAAACTCTTCACGGTAGTCATAGATCACCACTCTTTATGTTGGCTGGCCAATGTTAAGGATCCATCCGGAAGACTTGCTGGATGGGCTCTCAGGTTGCAAGAATACGACATAAATATCGTCTATAAGAGCGGTCGCAAACACTCCGATGCAGATTCACTATCAAGGAAGCCTCTTATAGAACCAATAATTGAGAACAATGAAGACATCCCTTTCTTTGCAGCGATC